AATGAGTTTAAGTTCGCGCGCAGAATTTAACTTAACTCAAGATCGGGTTTGAATGTGATACCGTTCGTAAAATGGAAGAGAAGGGAAGTAAATTGAACTAAAAAGATGAACCGGAGGGAAGAGATGAACCGGGATGAAGAGGTGAACTGTCTGAAGAAGAACTGAACTAAGAGAGGGAGTCACGCGATGTCGCGATTTATATAGGAAAGTTCAAAGGATGGAAGGCGTGGATTTCGTGTAGGATGTCTGGTTTTTGTTTCGAGGATTTCTTATTGGCGGAATGTTTTTTACTCAAGAGGTGGATTCCTCAGTTTTCGCCTATCCTAGAAAGCTAAAGACGGTTATCGATTTTTCCGGTTTTCCATTAGTGAGTCCTCTCGTAAGGCCCCCACTGTCTTATTGGAGATGTAACCCATCGCTTCTTCCAGTGACGTATTTTGTTTTTCGGCTATCGCTGATTTCTCTTTTATTAGGGTTCTGGGTTTTTAGTTTATCTTGCGACCCTATTTTTAGTACCGACAGACAAATGCATTCCATCTAATCTTAATTGTAGTTTTATTGCAAACAGAAACTTCCGCCACGTGCTTTTACCAGATTTCCAAAAGCACGTTTTAGACCTTGTTTCTGTTTGTCGGAACATTGCGGCAATTTTGAGCTAGTCGCGCGATGCAATAAAGATCCTAAGCAAACTCCGTCTGAGATTAAAGCTTTTTTGGCGCGTCGTGTCGCCGGGTTTATAGTTACGGACCAGACAAAGTTGATAGAAAAAATCCGATCACGTATGCCCCGTCTGTCAGTACTTTATTCTGGAAGGTCGCTTTGTCGTTTAGGCAAATAGCTAATTAAAAAAGGGAATGTGAGGAGATCAAAGCTCACTCGCCGATCGATAACCGTCCGTGCTCAGTTTAATTTTAATCTTAAGAACTATTCTAAATTTTTAAGAGGTTTCCGCGAAAAGGGGAAATCGTGGAATCCACAGGATGTAACAACAATACAAATAAGTCTTATTCGCGGACGGAACGCTATGTGGTGAACAGAGATATATTCTATGGTGAGCGGCGTTATATATCTGAGTCGCGGGATATAATGGTGAAGTAATTATATACAGGTTTTATTCGCTATGTACAGTACGGCGGGAGCGCAAGATATTCCACTGGCGCGGTGAAACGCGGGCGATGATTAACGGGCGCGTGTGCAGGCGGAATACGGCTCGGTGATACGGCGCGGGATAACGCGGGAGCGCGCATAGGTATCGCGGTGATGACGATATGGACCTCGGGAAAGGCTACCGTGCAACCGAGACTCTCGGCAAGCGTAGAGAGCACCTCTCTACCCTGTTTTGCGGCGGTGCTTCGGGAGGTAAACGGAATCGGGCGGCTGAGACACTCAGCGAGTATAGGGAGCACCTCCCTATGATGGACCGCCTGGATTTCGTTGCTCAGGGAACGGTACCGTGCGGCCGAGACCCTCGGCGAGGATAGAGAGTATTTCTCTATCTTGACTCGCGCTGGTACGCTGTGCTGATAGTCTTATTGGACGGCTGAGACCCTCAGCAAGTCTAGAGAGCAACTCTCTAGACTTAAAACGTGTCGATAAGACGAGAAGCGGTCGGAAACGACAAGTCTTCGAGATACGTCACTCGATGGAGCCAGAGAGCAATTCTCTACCTTAGGACTTGTTCGCTTTCAGGAATTTGGGTGCCGAGAGCAGCGGATGATCGGTCGAGTCGGTGTGCTGGCTCACGGTGGAATACGATTATTATTAATAATTGCCGGTTTATATACCCGCAGCGGCGTTTTGGAAGTGGCGGGGGTACGAGCGACGGCAATTGCGAGCGCCGGGATGGAGCGGCGAAACGGTCGGAAATTACGACGTCCCGACGCTGCGATTGCGTTCGGCGGTCTTCGGTCGTTTTCGGCACCGCTCGGCGTTCCGAGTCGGTTGCCGCGGTAAGTCCTTCGCGTAGACTTTATTCGAGCGCGGTTTCGTACAAGGATTAAAAATATGGCATACCGTGCCTTTCCTCGCTTGGCGGATGTTCGGCCGGGCGGCATCCGGCTGATATTCGCCGGGAACGATGCGATTCCGGGGCGCATTGTTATATCTTTAAAACGAGCAACAATAGTCCCCTTCCCATTTAAAATTTTTTACTTACACCCCCGCTCTCGCCTCCCTAGAGGCCAAAAAAAATTAATTTGGTATAAAATAAGTAGCCTTCTAAATGATCATGAACACGTGTTTTGGTGTTTTTCCATATCTAAAGCCGTTTCCGAGATCCAGGGGGTTGGGTCAAACTTTAGAGATATCCTGTATACATGTAATAGATTACATATTTAATACGTTAATAATAAAAAACTTCGTGTTTTATTTTTTATAAAAATAATTATTTAGCAAAAAAAATGTTTTAATAACGATTTGGCGGAAGGTACGATCTATTTCTCATATAAGGTCCTTCTAAGGCACGGCGCCACACGCGCGATCGACGACTCGTCCGTCGACCTTCGAGTAGCAGTGGCTGGATAGTAAGCGTTGCCTCAGAAATTTGGCCCTAATTCCGAAAAGGGTATATACAAGATGTAATGGTGCGTGTCCACCTGCGAGTAAAACTCTCGATAGTAGCTCTCGAGATTGATTCTAGCAAATGGACATATTCCTAAGAGTACCTAACGGAGAATAATTCGCAACTCTCGGCGAGCAAACTTGTCAAGACCTACTCGCAAATCGACACGACGTTATTTTACTCTCGGAGATCAGCTCGCCAAGCTCGAACGCTGTTCGTATTTTGAGAGCTACATGTTGAGAGTAAAAACCGAGATGGCAAAAGTTTGTTCCTTTGATGACACCAAAAAAACTTATTAAATAATGCGGAAATCATGAACTATTGTAAAATACTACTGTGACAGAAATAAAAAAATTTTTAAATTTTTATGTTCTGCAAATAAAGTGCGAAAAAAATTCATAATTTAAAGAATTAGATAAGAATATTTTTAATACATTCTCTAATTACTTGGTCAATAATAATTAGTTACACTTTAGTTTTACATAGTTTGCACGTTTTAGTTACAGTGCTGAAATTAAATACATTTTTACATCGCGAATTAAGTACATTAAAAAAAAAAAAAAAAATTATTAAATATTTACATATAAAAATCTAACATCAAGGTATTTCGCAAACTGAAAACTAAATAATAATATCGCACTATGTATTCCACTTCACAATTTGTAAGTCTGCAGTAACTTTTAATTGTTGGGAGTCTTCAATCTTAAGCTCTCTAATTAGAGCAGATCCGGCACTTGTTATCAATCCATTGCTTGACTCAGAAGGTCTTTTTGTTGTTATTTAACACCCTTTTTCTTTTTAAAATAATGCTAGCCACTATAGTAGCCGCAAGTTTTTTTCGTTTACGAGGCATTATGATGTCACCACTCTCAGAGATCGACTAAAAAAGTACGTAAGTGGACACGGTTTTGAGAGAACTCTCCGAAAGAATACTCTCTGGATTCTCACGAGATGCTCGCGAGAGTACAATGTCAGAAAAATTACTCTCAAATGGACAGTGTCAGAATCAATCTCGAGAGCTACTCTCGAGAGTTTTACTCGCAAGTGGACACGCACCTTTACAAAAGTTTCCGGAGTTTTTTTGAAAACACTAAGCAGTTACAAATCGGTATATAAATTGAAAATCTACACTTAAAACAGAACATAAAACTTTATTAGAACATTAATAACAAAATTAAACGAAGAAAATTAAGAATTTTTAATCGACTTGTCTGGCTATTATCATGACAATACGACTTGATTTTGGTCAGATTATCGTCAAGACATTTCAGACCAAAGATTTTGGTCTTTCTAAATTAATATTCTAAATATTTAAATAATTTTATTTTATAGTAAAAATATTACCTTAGCCAAGGTTCAAACTTGGAAACCTCCCCCATTCCGTGTAGGGTGTCGTACCAATTCGACCATTGAGGCATGTGGTAATATTTATCGCAATAATACGCGTATTAAAGAGTAAACAATAATAAGAGTAAACAATAATAAGATAGAACATCAATTTTGGTCAACGGTTTATATTCTGGCGAAGTAAATGTCTCTTATTCATATTCGGTTTAAATGAAGAAAATTATAATAAATGCTCAAAATAGTTTCCTTTGGCTTTAATACATTTTCGAAGTTGACTCGAAAAATTGTTCGCAATGGTCGCGCACTGCTGGATGGTAATTTCATCCCAGTTACGTCGCAGGTTCACTTTGAGGGACTTCGTTGATTTAATAAAGCTAACTTCAGAGATTTTTTGCTTCAAGATAGTCCACACGGAAAAGTCCATTGGGTGCAAATCCGACGAGTTTGGTGGCCTTTTCCGCGTGGTCTACCTTGGATCTCTGGAGTTTGCTTTAAATCAACGGAGTCCCTCAAAGTGGCCCTATAATGTGACTAAAATAAAATTACTATCTAGTAGTGCGCGGCCATCGTGAACAATTTTCCGAAGCAGCTTCGAAAATGTATTAAAGACAAAGGAGACAATTTTAAACTTTTATTGTAATTTCCTTTATTTAATTTTGTTATTAATGTTCTAATTTATGTTCTGTTAAAAATTTAGATTTTTTATTTATATACTGATTTGTAGTTGCTGAATGTTTTTAAAAAAATTATGCGAACTTTTGTGTCACCTTGTAATTCCGAATAATGGTTTAAATGATATTCAGGAAAAAAAAACTAATTTTTTTTCGAGAGAGAGAGAGAGAGTTTTTCACCCCTTTAATATGCCATTAATTACTTATAAAAAAATATGTGTCACTTATTTTTCTCTATATTTTAATATATCCAAGGCTTGTTAAAATTGGAGAACACTTGGTTGTATTTCCTTGTAAGACAAAAACATGGAAAATCTTTTATATTTAATTAATTCATGTCATCTCTTTATATTAATTTTATTATTTGCTTTAGATAAATTACAGGATGTAACATGTAATTATTTTATATTGTTATTAGAATGAAATATTATGGACTTGTATGGCTGTCATAGCAACTGATAATAGAGAACTGCATGCTGCAGAAGAAGCATACGCTGCTATTTGTAGATTTGATAAAGTAGATTATATTAAATATATCAAGGTAATTAAATTATCTATTGATATTTATTTATTTTTATTAAGATAATCTCAAATAAAATAAATCCGTACATTGTTTGTAGAATTTGCCTACTGCTACAGAGAGACATGCAGAAATGGCATTACTGGCAGGGGATGTGCCGATGGCAGAAGGTATATTGTTACAAAGCAGTTTAATTAAGGAGGCTATACATATCAACATCCAAATTTATAATTGGAATAGGTAAGTTAGAAAGTAACACAAGATTTAATTATAAAATAAGCAATTTGATTATAATTTATTTTTATTACAACGCAATTGTTTTAAAAATTGATAGAAATATATTCCTTAACAAAATTAAAATAGAGATAATTACATCGAATTACATGATAAAAATAACGTATATACAGGGTGTCTCAACGCACTGTGTCCAAATGCTCGTGATGAGGTAATAGGGATCAAGATAAACAAAAATGTTCTCTACCATTTTGCGATATTCGCAATAGTTAATGAGTTACTAATTAATATGTCTGAGTGAATAACCGCATGAGAAGCGGTAGGCCGAAGTCCGGCCAAGTCGGCAGGCGCGCGCGTGAGCGAGTAGTGAGTGGCGAGGGGCGTGGTCATGCGCCCATACGCGCGCTTGTCGACTTGCCGCGCTAATGATAAAAAACATTTTTGTTTATCTTGATTTCGTCTACCTCATCACGAACATATGATTCAGTGCGTTGGAACATTCTGTATAACTTTGCAAAATATAGAACAATTTTCAAAAACATTATCTATACAAACGGCGATGCGAGTCAGGCGCGGAACGTGGTGCGCAATAAAAATTAAAACGTGTATTTACAAGTAAAAAACGTTTTGGCTCTTCCTTTGAGCCATCTTCAGCTTTATTAACACAAACAGGAAATTTATTTCTCGAAGTAGCAAACTCCTTTCCTGGAAAGATGTCGTGATAAACGAGCTGGTACACACGATTATGGTGGACATTTCCACTGAGAAACGGAAAAGGCATCATGTATACTCAATCGTTGAAGGAAACAAAAAAGAAGAAAGGAGAGAGCTCACCTCAAGTTCTGCAGCAGTCAAAAATACATTAATTAAAAAGTCGTAGCAAGACGGTGTGGATACAGAGAGTCGCACATCTCGGAACAGAAGCGAGAATATCGCAGTCACACACGTGTCGGTAGAAAACGAAATGAGAAGCGGGTCACAAGTATGCCGGTCGGAAACGTAATTATAAACAAAGTAACCAGCCAAAGAGGGGAAACCAAAGGTTAAGCATTATTTATGATAGACAGGTATGCGTGGTGTAAGCAGTCGGTATCCGATTGTAAATTCAAACTATGGCGCTGTTGTCTAATGTATAGAACTTCAGAAATAAGTCGCTTGTGATAGAATCTTTCGTGATCCAATATCTCGACGCCATCCCAATCGAAATCGTGGTCATTCTGAATTCTATGATCAGACCTTTTCCGTTTCTCAGTGGAAATGTCCACCATAATCATGTGTGCCAGCTCGTTTATCACGACATCTCTCCAGGAAAGGAGTTTGCTACCTCGAGCCCTGCAGAAATAAATTTCCTGTTTGTGTTAATAAAGCTAAAGATGGCTCAAAGAAAGAGCCGAAACGTTCTTTACTTGTAAATACACGTTTTAATTTTTATTGCGCACCACGTTCCGCGCCTGACCCGCATCGCCGTTTGTATAGATGACATTTTTACGAGTCCAGATATATTATTAATTTTCAAAAAGTTTTTAAGTATTTTAAGGACGTTCTCCGGCTCTAGTCATGCTCAACTTATATTCATGCTTAAGGGGATTCTGCAGTGACTGGCGAACTTCCTCGATGTCGATAATGTCAACCTTTCTAATTTTGTTTTCCTTATATCTGTCTTTGTCTAACGAAATGACATCTGGCCTTTCTTCGATTGCTATTTGCTCGCCATCTCTCGCAAGATCCAACAACTACTGTTGCTGCTTTTCTTGTCATTCTGCATCCGTATTTGCATTATTAAAATAATTTTTCGATGGATCTTTTTTTGTACGCATTAAATCTTACTTCTACTTGCACGATATTATTCCTACATGTTTTCCCAAGGGCAGATGATAAACATTATGTATGTATAAACTGCAGAATTTTTGTTTTAAGCAAATATTGTCGTCAGGTGACAGATGCGTATGTGCCCAAATAAGTAATATTTTTAATTTTTGGGTGTTTTTGATATAAAATCGCGTTTGTTACCCTAGATTTTTGTGCGTACTTTAATTCTGTAAAATATTTTTGCAATTCTATAAAGCCAATTAAAAGATCCATCGAAAAACGATAATGTCGGTAAATCATACGGCTGCAGGATCCCCTTAAAAAGAAAATTGGATAAACTTCCGAAAACGGCCCCCCTCCGATTTCGATGAAACTTTGTGAAAAACTTTGTTTTGGGTCAAAATGAAAGCCCTTAAAAGGAATTTTGGCGACTCCTGATAAAGCCATTTTTTTAAATAAAATGATAAAAAATATAGGAAAATCTTCGTAATTCTACAGGATGTTATAAATTGAATATATACTGTTTGTATTTAATGACTTTATGTTTTTATCCTCCCCCGAAAGCACGGGGGGGGGGGTGTGCGTGAACCTCGGTTCGCGTGGAAAGTGTATGCG